TGTGTCTTACTTCTGGTGAGTGCGTTTTCCAGCCATTTCCACACGGATCACCAATTCTGAATTCACATCTGACACTGGATACGTTCTTATGAACAAGACTTTTAGTGGACTATTTTTCTGTCATATTGTCATTATTTCAGCGCTGCACTATTTTTATGCTATATCTCCAGTTATCTCCATCTGATTCCTGAAAGTTGCCGTATGGTCAAATATTCAGTCTTATAAAATAAAGAATTCTTTGCAGGATTGTTTCTCTCTTTAATCCCTATGTGCAGAGAAACTACAGCCTAAAGCAGACAGCTGGAATTAAACAACAAGAAATTCACATATGGTTTCAGTTTAACAGATACTGCCACCTAGTGCAAATTCATGCACAAAGCCAAACATATTTTATATACAAATTATACTGTATGTGCCAATTTTATTTACAATCAAAATATACTACCAAGAAGCATAACTGAGATGTGATAAACTTAAAAGAAATAGAATGTTTCTTTTATATTTGTTAGGATTTGTGTATACAGGCATTTAAGATGTGTTTGCGCACACACTGTTCCATAAGAGCCTATTCAAAATTCAATCATTGAATGCCACATCTGTCATGAATGACTTACAAACTGCCATTTTTTTTGTTGCCCTGTCCCAATAGTTTTAAGACGTGTTGCTGTCAATTTAAAAAAATTACCTTATTTTTCCTTTAAACGGTAGTAAAGTCTCCTTTAAAAAAAAAAAAAAAAAAACCCTCCATGCAGGATTTAATCATAATTTACTAGTATCCACTGCATATTAGCACATTAGGAGAGACTTACCTACATACTGATGCCTCCAGAACTGGGCAGTCACAGCTGCCCTGATCCCCGATGACTTCCATGTTAACCAGGTCTTCTTTCCAAGTTCCAAAACTTTGGCCGCTTGATTGTGCAAGGAAGTCACTTCACAACGCTATATAGAGCGTCCCACAAATGCGGTCCGAGCTGTGCATACGCGGCTCAGATTGCATTACCACTGCATGCGGACATTCACTATTACTTTAGAGTGGTACATGTTATCAGTTTGACCATTTGATTTCTATTGTTAATAAAATATGGTTTTATGAGATTTGCAAAATCATTGCATTCTGTTTTTATGTAGATTTTACACAACATCCAAACTTCCGGGGAATTGGCGTTGTACAAATGCCCGTAAACACCAGACCTTTGGCTAGCAGGCAAAGGCAGCAATTGTGTGGATTGACCCATTGCCTTTAATCACTAATTTAATATTCTAAACAAACAATTCAAACCTGCAAGCCTTGAGAAAGCAGTAAAAGTCCCCAAAAGGTTCACTCACACAATCATACTTGCTCAAACTCTGTTCAATAATCTTTATTATAGATAGTAACCCACTGGAGGTACAAGATGTTGTACCATGGTAGCCCACTGCGATACGTACAATAAATTAGTTAGGGAATAAACAGTACACCAAAATGGCACTTAAAATCTTTGAATCACCCAACAGCCACACCTCAAGCATGGAAAAGGACACTGCAATATAGAAGAAAGGAAAAGTAAAGCATGACAAGGAAAAGTAGAGCATGAAAAGAACGAAGAAAAGTAGCAAATTGCAAAAGGAGAATTAGACTTAGAAATAGGAATTGACTGGAGTGAACTAGTGGTATCATGCATGAAGGGCAAATAAAAGATAAGTATTCAAAGTGATAAAAAAAAAAAAAGGAAATGACTTAATGTGTTACTAAATCCAGTACCCTGCATTCATTATATCTGGTCTCCCACAGTACACACATCATGGAAATGCAATTATTGTAGTAAATATAAACTGCTAAATACCTCTTCTCAACAGCAGTGCAGTTAGAGCATTCTTGTGACTTCTATCAGTGTCCAGCACAGCACATGTTAAAGCTTGTGGGAGAAGCTTTCATTTTGCTCTAGGAGGATGCAGAACCTCTGTCTGGACAGTGTTGATTGGCCCTGTGCCGTTCACATGCACTCTCCCAAGAAAAAACAAAACACCTTTCTAGCAGTACACACCAAACTGAGCATGTGCAGAGCGACTCCACAGGATGTCTTACCAGGAGATAAGAGGGGGGCACTGGAAAAAGGGGAAAATCAGAGAAGTCAGGATCACACAGCTTTTTTACACAATGCAGAGGATTAATCCCTTAGATTCCACAGCAAGTATAACAAGCATGCTTTACTGTATATACAGACTGACTTTACTGTTGTGGATTTAGTAACACTTTAAGCACTTACCTAGTTTGCAGGTCCATTTTTCCTTTAACGCCATGCCTGCTTTCTAATCCTCTGTAGAAAATCCTTCCTCTCAGTGGCTCCATGCCCTTACAGCAGTGTTTCTCAACTCCAGTCCTCATGGACCCCCAACAGGTCATGTTTTCAGGATTTCCATTATTTTGCACAGGTGATTTGATCAGTTTCACTGCCTTAGTAATTACCACAGCTGTTTCATCTGAGGGAAATCCTGAAAACATGACCTGTTGGGGGTCCATGAGGACTGGAGTTGAGAAAAACACTGCCTTACAGGGACCCATGGAGTCATCTTTGCATGCATGCATGCTCCTAGATGGCTCTGTGGACTAGTCTCCTTACGTTCACAGAAGCTCACAGCACTGGAAACACTATGTGCCCTACTCCTCCCTCCAGCTGCTGATTGACTGGAGCTGGAGCCTACTGAATCCCTGCTGTACTGTGCCTGTGAAGGGCACATGGAAATTGCTGAAGTTTGAGGGAAGCAGATTTGATAAGCTGGGTCTGGCAGTGATAAGCAGAAAGGTACTTTATGTACCCATGTGGTAAGGATATTTAAAAAAAAAAAAAAAAATGTACTGGGTAATGTTTCACTGCTTGGCATTACTAAGTCCATTACAAAAAACAGGAGTTTAATACTTTAAGGAATCCAGAGGAGAGAATGAATGAATGAATATGATGGGAGCAGAATCAAGTGATACCCTTACTCAAAGAGCATGGAAAACTAGAATATTGAGGGGTTTCTCTAGAGAACTTCCAATAGAAGAACAAAACAAGGATTACAAGAAAATAATTTCTGATTTGTTAGTTAAGCATATGGATATGGAAGGATATGAAAGTGCACATGGCAGTTAGTCAGGAATACAAACTCGGAAGATGGACGATAAGAGCTGAGTAACATCTTCATGGAAGGGAAAGGTTAAATACAAATGTTAATATGCAGCAATGATAGATAAGAAATGAGAAATGAAATAGGAAGAGATACAATCAAGTGAACAGCAACTAGGATGACTTGATAATTAAGAAAAAAAAACCCTGCTTTATCCAATGGAGTCGAGCATGTTAGAGAGGAAGATAAAGGAGGTGTTTGGGCTGACACACGAAGTTATACAGTAAAGTTAGAAGAACCTAGGCGGAGTGGATTACACTGCCACTTCTGACCTCTCTTAGACCTCATGCACACTGGGTGTTGAACCCTGGAGCATAAGAAGGGTGTTAAGGTGTGGGCAGAAGGCACAGGCACAGGCACACCATCCATCCCTACTGCCAGCAGTCTGTAAACTCTATGAAAGACCGACTGCTGCTGTGGATGGACACTGCACTGAGCAGTGCTAACGTTTAGGACGTTATGTGCCCAGGAATGAACACCCAAAACGCAGACTACTTGCATTCTGGACACCTACCACCCTAAATGTTAGTACCGCTCCAGGGTGCATGAGACCTTACAAAAAAAAAAATGGCACTTGTCAACCATAAGTCACAAATAGCAAATATGCAGATCAAGAGTTGTGTCTTTTACTTAATAGGCGCGGTTTTCAAGCCAGAGGATTTGTATGACACTAGGTTCAATATTTCTCTAAGCATCGGATTCCTTTAAAACCCAGAAACCATCAAACCCTGAGCCATTCAACCCATAAAAAAACTTTTTTAATATGGGTGGCTGATAAATTCCCAATATAGCAAGGAATTCTTACATTTACTGTATTAGCTCTCTATGGTTTAAAGTGTTACTAAACCCACAACAGTAAAATCAGTCTGTATATGCAGTAAAGCATGCTTGTTATATAATCACTGTGGAACCTAAGGGGTTAATCCTCTGTCCTGTGTAAAAATGCTTTGATCCTGACTTCTCTGATCCTCTCCCTTCTTCCAGTGTCCCCCTCATCTCCTGAGAAGACATATGGCGTGGAGACACTGCACATGCTCAGTTTGGTGTGTATTGCTGGAGAGGTTTTCTTTTTTTTCTTGGGAGAGTGCATGTGATCAGCACAGGGCTAATCAGCACTGTCCAGACAGAGGTCAGGGGTTCTGAATCCTCCTACAACAGAAAAAAAACTTCTCCTACAAGCTTTAACCAGTGCTCTGCTGGACACTGATAGAGGTCACAATACTGCTCTAACTGCTGATGAGAAAAGGTATTTAGCAGTTTATATTTACTAAAATAATTGCATTTCCATGTTCTGTGTACTGTGGGAGACCAGATAGAATGAATGCAGGCACCTTGGTTTAGCAACACTTTAAGCACACTCTTAGGCCTTGTCTAGAGCTGGCACTGTAGCTCTGAAAGATGGACTTTAATTTGGCCTTGCAAGTGGATAAGGGGGTTATAGTTACTTTAAAATTGATTGGTGGGTCTCAGCACTTGTTTTAGGCAGGCCATGGATTATGCAATTTTCTTTCCTTCCACTACGAGGGTGGGAGAGAAAACTGCTTGATTGCCCCAGCGCTATTGTGTTCTGCCAGCGGGGAGCATAGGAAGCCTTCCCTACTGGCAGAACACAATGTTCATTGGTGTCTACTATAGCCAGTGGAATCAATCATTTGGGAAAAACCTGACAGGTTGGCTGTACAAAAGTCAATCAATAGATCAACTTGTGTACAATCAGGGTGCCCATACATGGATCGAATCTTGGCCAGTCCCTGCTGAACACGATGAAGTGAAACCATGTATGGCCGGCTACAGATACAGTACAGAGGAGGAGTAATTTTTCAACCAAAACACATTTAACGGATACTCACTGTCTTCAGTGGGAAGGACTTGGAGGGAATATATCCATTCAATGATCTCATCTCTGTTCAACACATGCAACGAATCCAACATGTCCAGACCAGACAATGCAAAAAATGCAATAGTTAACCTAGAAATAAAAAGGCACATTTTACAAGAGCACATAGATTTCTGCTGTAACACTGACTGCACCCTCTTTCTGGCTGTTATTTCCATGGCATTAAAAATATGCTCCTATTGGTGCATGTCCTAGGTGGGTTTTCAGAACAAAAAAGAGAAAATGTGTGGGAATACTCCTCTATATTTATTGTCTTATAGTATAATCTTTAAGTAACCAAAATTGTATCTAATTAAAGCCTAAAGTTAGATTTGCGCAGAAATTATAACTGTGCACATACAAGCGAGAGCTGCAGTACACTTTTTAACCAACAGCCGCCCGGACAATAGCAGTTTGGCAGCTGGCAAAATGCTGTTGATTTCCAGGTGGACGCCATATGGCGTCCTCCCGGGCATGCGCAGTCTTCGCACTTGCAGAGCCGTGCAGCAGCGCGATCTGTCACCGGCCGTGTACCTCGGACACGGCCGATGACAGATCTGAGTACCGGCCCCCGTTGCCGGTACCATGTGACCTGCTGTGACCAATCACAGCAGGTCACATGACAGTTGTATACAATGGATGGCTTCATTCATGCCATCCATTGTATACTAGTGTCTAGCTGTGAATGGTCACAGCGATCACATGCACATGTCATGTGATTAGCTGTGGCCAAATCACAGCTAAGCACAAAAAAAAAAAAAAAAAAAAAAAAAAAAAAAAAAACCCTGAATGAATCGATGTCATTCAGGTAAATGTTTGCTTATAGCAAAGTAATTCTTTCTATAAGCAAATTGTGTAAAAAAAAAATAAAATACTGATCACTTCCCCAAAGTAGTACAATGTTACTATGGTAACATTGTACTACCTTGGACATAGTGAAATATGAAAAAAAAATCTTAAAAAAAAAAAAATGTAATAAAATTTTTTTTTTTTTTTTCATACTGTCACGAGTCAGTGTCCCTGATCACCGCCATGCCAGTTATATGATGACGCTGTACTGCACTGGTGACAGTATGCGAAAAAAAAAAAAATAGTGAAAATAATTTTTTTAATTTTCCAAAAAATGACAAAAAAAAAAAATACAACTTCAAAAAACTCGCCATGCCTCTTATGAAGAATGTTGGACTGTCTACTTTGCAAAAAAGGGTCATTTGGGGGATATCTGTACTATTCTGACATTCTTGAACCTCAAGAAATTAGATTGGCTGTCAGTACTTCAGGATTGATCAATATTCAGATCTATACCATAGTTTGTGAACTCTATAACTTTCCTACAAAATAAAAAATACATCCTAATTTGGGTTATTTTCACCAAAGACATGTAGCAGAATACATCTCGGCCTAAATTTATGAAGAACAATTATTTATTAGCAAACGTTTATAACAGAAACAAAGAAAAACTTGTTTTTTTTTTTTTTCAAAATTTTTGGTCTTTTTTTGTTAATTTAGCAAAAAATAAAAAACCTCAGTGGTGATTAAATACCACCAAAAAGAAAGCTCTAGTTGTGTGAAGAAAATGATAAAATTTTAGTTTGGGTACAGTGTTGTATGACCGCGCAATTGTCATTCAAAGTATGAGAGCGCTGAAACCTGAAAAATGGCCTGGGAGGGAAGGGGGTAAAAGTGCCCGGTATGGAAATGGTTAAGGAAAAAAAAAAAAAAAAAATTTAAATGATTCAATACTTTTAACTTTCCAGACCCAAAGCAAGCATGCAGCTCAGCTGGTCTGACCTCATTCTGACTTTCGTAATCGTCATTCTTTTTATTCTTTAAGTGGTTTTAAAAAGGTACAAGATGTTTTTTTCCTTAAAACACTCTATGCAAAGTAAAAAAAAAAAAAAAAAAAAACCTCGGCAAGCAGTTCCCCCCAGCCCCTCCCTCATACTTACCTGAGCCCAATCTTGATATAAGCAATGTGCAAGAGAGCAGTGGCTCTCTCCTCATTGGACAGAGAGGCAGCAGCGGGAGCCATTGGCTCCTGCCGCTGTCAAGCACAGCCAGTGAGGTGGGAGTGGGGGTGCAGCCGAGCACGTACACGTTAATCTGAGAAGACAAGGATCATGGCTGTTCTGTGCAAAACCCTTGCAGAGAGCAGGTAAGTATGACATGTTTGTTATTTAAAAAAAACAAAAAAACCCATTAAAATCACTTTAAGGTCAGTGTATCAGTAACAAGGCAGGCAACAAGCCTTTTTAGAACAAGAGGTCAACAGTGATTACTTATTAGGCCTCATGCACACTGGAGGTTTTTACAGCTGCTCCTAGCAAATGTCAGGCTTTTTTTTGCCCAAAAACACGCTGCTACCAGGAGGAAGGCTTCTAAGAGCGCCAAAGTGATTCTAAGGGCTTTTTTTCCTGCCTCTAAACTCCCCTGTTTGTTAGCCTATTTGTCCATGCACACAAACTTTTCAAGGTGTTTAGTGGCAGGAGAGTTTAGAGGCAGAAAAAACCCCACTGCCAGTGCATCCAGGAGCAGCAGAATTTTGGCAGAAAAATGCTTGACGCGTGTAAACGCATGTTTTTACCCCCATGTATTCTATGCATGAAAGTAGAAAAACCAACTGTGTGCTGCTACCCCCGCAGCTCCACCCCCAGTACTTACCTGAGCCCCTTCTCAATCAAGTGATGTGCATGGGAGCCTTGGCTGTCCCGTCTCTCTCTCCTCATTGGCTCCCACTGCTTTCAATCACAGACATCGAGCAAATTCAGAGAGAGTGGGCAGTGGGGCCGAGCCATGGCTCTATGCGTCTTATGAACTCAGAGAAGGGCTCAGGACTGAGCATGCACCAGTGCCCCCATAGCAGGCAGCTTGCTATTTGGTGCACTGGTCAAGGTGGAGGAGCAGAAACATTGGTGGGGTACCTGAGAAGAAAAGGATTGGGCTGCTCTTGTGCAAAACAATTGCACACAGTAAGTATGACATGCTTGTTATTAATAAAAACAAAAACAACAAAGCTTTAATTTCACTTTAATCCTGGATATGAAATTTAACACTGGAGAATAAGCAAAGCCTCCCCACAAAGTTCAGAAACATTTTTTTCTGCATTTGCAGATGCATCCTCCGCCTTCCTGTGCCTTGCTTCCCTGAACTCCTGGGATGGTAAGTACACACTGAAAACGTCACAAATCTCAGAAATACATATCCCTGCGTTAACATTTTTTTTCTTGATGTGGTGACACTGCCTGTACTGACATACACTGACACCCTCTGCTCCTCCTCGATAGGCAGCACCATGGAAGCTGCTGTCCATAAATTTCCTTGGAGGAGGAACATTGGAGTATCCTTCCTCTTTAGGGCCCATTCACCCTGCCCTGGACAGCTGCCACACACTAAACTGCAGCAGTCTAGTGTCCGGCAGCTGTCTGTCCTGGCTGCAGTGAGCTTGGCAGCAGGGGGTAACGTGAACATCACAAAGGTCCCTTTTTTTTAATCAACTTTGTTTGAAGTACACAAAAGTGACACTGCATTCGTGATCCTGTACAGCAGTGCAGTGCGTTGTACTGCTGTCCAGTGACATGCCATCCTGTCCTGTTTATGACAATAAAATGAAGCATGTCTGCATTTCATTGCTGGTCATCAGACTGTACCTCTGGGGTGCATTGCAGTGTGAACTGGACACAGAAAACAATTGTTTTGTGTGTGTCCTAGCAGTGACCTCTGTTCTTCCAGTGCAGTAAAATGCAGATCACCACACTATGTACGAACAGGGGTGTAAGGGATTTCCGGCAAGACGAATCGCGATTAGAAGTGCGCATGCTCATAGGAACTCCCGGAGAAGAGTTTTCGGTTGTGCAGAAATGCGTGATCGCGCACGGCGAAGATTGGCGCCAGACGGGCTATTTAAAGAGTGTCTCTGCCCATGTTAGGTGCGGACTGGTCTTCAGCTCCCCCGTGTCCCGCTTGTTCCTGTGTTATTCCTTTGTTGCTGACCCGGCTTATTGCTCTCCTGATTGATACTGGTTCCTGACTTCAGCTCCGCTCCTGACCTTGGCTTTGGCTTCTGATTCTGTACCATGCTGCCCGATTATTGATGATCCTGGCTATTCACATGACACTGCTCCTGTCTCTTACCCTCATTACCTGCCTTGCTCTGGTGCACATCTGGCAATCTACCAGGCCTGCTCTGCTTGTTACTACTGTGCCTGAATCAGAAGATCATTAGTCCTCCAAGGTCATCATCTGCAAGAGCTGAAAACTACTGGCACTCTTGTCCCCCTGGTCCCTAGACTCCCTCTGTTCCAACTCCAGTGGGGTCAGGGCTAGTGACACAAGTGAGGCCGACCTCGTCATTTCAGTCTCCCATTAGGTACGTGACAAGGGGTCTTCCTGTCCCCTCAGCCTGGGTTCACATTAAAGCGGTTCGGGAAATCGAATGCGACTGGGACGGGAATCGCACTGCATTCTTGTTCAAATCCCATGTGATTTGAGCCCATTCATTTTGTATGGGCTCAGTTTGCACCACACCTGCACGAAAAAGGTACAGACATCTTTTTTTTTGCTGCACCGGAATCGGTATGCACACCCACGCAATCTCTTTCTTGAAATCAAACTGCGTTTCGTGACCTGTTTTGGGGTTTCAGTAATTTAACAGCTTCCTGACCACCCTATAGTAGAACTACTGCTACAGGGTGGCAGGGCTGCGCAAAATTCCACACAAATATACACACATACACGAATTTGTATTTCTGGGTAGGGGGTGTGCATGCTCCGCCCTACCCGCACCGCCGTTGGTGGCTACAGCTGTCAATCAACGGGTCCCAGCCAGGGATCCCCTGCTGGCACCCGGCGACCACTGAGGAATACTGACAGGGGAGAGGTCTGTATGTAAACAATACAGATCTCTCCCCTCAGCACCAGCATGCTGCTTTCTATTCTGCATAGCAGAGCAATACAAAGCAGCGTGCTTACACAGTAAATCACACAGCACACAGTTAACCTTTTGATCGCCCCAGATGTTAACCCCTTCCTGCCCAGTGTCATTAGTACAGTGTCAGTGTTTTTTATTAGTACTAATCACTGTATCAGTGTCACTGGGGATGTCAGTGGCAGTTAGTCAGTTCCCCCCAGTGTCAGAAAGCCCGCTGCAGTCCCGCTACAAGTCGCTGATCGCCGCTATTCATAGTACAAAAAAAAAAAAAAATACAGCCATTTGCAGACACTATAACTTTCACATAAACCAATTAATTTACATCTATTTGGCTTTTTTTTTTGGCAAAGACATGTAGCAGCATACATTTTAGCCTAATTTTATGGCAAAATTTGATTTTTAAAATTTTTTTACTGGATATGTTTTATAGCAAAAAGTTGGAAATATTGTTTTTTTTTTCCAAAATGGTCGGTCTTTTCTTTGTCGATAGCGCTAAAAATAAGAGATGCAGAGGTGATCAAACACCTCCAAAAGCTCCATTTGTGAGGAAAAAAAGGACATAAATTTAATTTGGGTGCAGCGTTACATGACAGCGCAATTGTCAGTTAAAATAACACAGCGCCGTATCACAAAAAATGGCCTGGTCAGGAAGGGGGGTAAATCCTCTGGAGGGCAAGTGGTTAGCATGGACACCTGTGGCAGATCGCATAAACAGAGCGCAATTTCTATACAGTGCAGGAAGCGCTCAGGATTCGCTGCATTTCCCGCACCGCATATATGTGAACCGCGGTGCATGTAGTCTGTTCATGGCAGTACACATGGAAGGGGGGCTCCACAGTGCTCTGAGAGGTGCCCCCTGAGATAGGAAAGTGGGGCCAGCTTTACTGCCAACTTTCCTACAGAAGAAGCTGCAACACAAACTGTGGCTTTAATATAAGGGTGACTAGACCGCTTCCTCTGACACAGACAACCCCAAGCAGCCGGCCCTGTACAGACATGACTGTATACAGAGTCCTCTACAAACCACACTGTCTGACACATTCCTATAGGGCGGGGTCCGGCTCCCCATTACCTGCTGGTCTCCAGGGAGGCACACTGCTCGGGGAGAGCCTGCAGGCTCCGCTGGAAATAGCGCACATGGCGATCCGGCAGGAAAAGTAACCGCTCCCCGATCAACTCATCCTCCTCCTCCGCCATCTCCCCTCCTGCCTTGTCCCTCTCCACTTCCCGTAGCCACTTCCGGGACAGGCGGAAATCGGATTTAGCGCCATAGAAACCGTCCGGCGAGCGTCTGTCACGTGACGTACAGTAACTGGGAGGGAGGAGTGAAGAGGAGGTGTGTAATCCGCACCAATGTCCTTCTCTTCTATACTTCTCTCTGCTCTGATAGGTGTACAGATAGAAGCAGGTTATTATATCTGAGGACGTGTCTGACCCAGGGGCGGCTGTGTAAAGGGATAGAACATGGGCATGTGTTGTAGATGGTCTTTACAGACCAGGCTGTGGTGATATGAAGAGCGGGAATGGTTCCTTCCAGGGGCGGACTGACCAGTCAAGAACTCGGCCATTGCCCAGGGTCAGTAGGGGGCCCCATAAGATGCCCCTGGTACCTTTCATAGGCTTTTTTGGGTGTGGTTTGAGTGTGGGCAAGGACACAGGGGCCCCAGGATCCCCTATTGGGGGGGGGGGCCCATGAGTTGTCAGTCTGCCCCTGGTTCCTCCTGATCTTTCCTAGGCCGGCACTAGTTGTGTCTTATATACTACTTAGCTATTTGTGTTTATTGCTGAAGGGGGGAACGCGGTTATTTTATGTTCTATTCCTGACAGAGCAGTTATATGGCTGGCTGCACATGGGCAGGGAAAATCCCACTTGGAGGGCTTATTTATACCTGTGTAGGCAGGTGCAGTCTCCTTTCTTTTTTGCCACCATGTGCAGCTCAGCACAACTTCCAGCCACTATGTGACCTATTTTATTCTTTATACTCCTGACGAACCTCTGTTTTCTGGAGCGAAACATGTAGTGTTTCTTTTTTTCTTTGGGCGCACTTTTTTAATGCACATGGTATTCACTCCTCCCCTTTTTTTTGGAGAGGTCTGTACTGCATTTTACAGTGCATCATTTGCATTCCTCAAGACAGGTATTTATGTCTGGATATGGTGACGTATGGGGCTTATCCATGAGGGGCTGACATTTAAGCCCGTGGATGAGTGTACCCGTATTACATATCTGTAGCAAGATAGATTATACTATCTAAGGGCTCGTTCACACTAGGCTGTTTTGCCAACGCTTGCCAAACGCCCCTATAGCGTTTGGCAAGCGTTGGTCCGGTGTTTGCGGAGCGTTTTTAACGCTCGGCAAACGCTCCGCAAACGCCGCATGCGCGGTTTAGCGGAGGTTGCTAGGCGTTTGCCGAGCGTTAATAACGCCCCACAAACGCCTATAATGCAGTTTGAGTGGTGTTACCGCGTCGCAAACGCCCCGCAACCGCACCGCAAACGCTGGCCGGGCGTTTGCGGAGCGGCACCATAGACGAGAATAGGAGGCTTCAAAGCCTCCTGACTCGTCCAGAGGCGTCCGTTTTGCCGCGACGCGACGCAAACGCTCCAGTTAGAACAGCACCATGTGCTGTAATGTGCAGAATTGGCAGAGGCGTTTGGGAAGCGGTAAAAACGCTTCCCAAACGCCTCTCTGCCGCCTGCACACAAGGCTAGTGTGAACGTAGCCTAATTAGTTTTGTCCATGGGGTAACTCCATTTCCTTAATAGATTATATATTCAAGCTGACAGGTTTATGATCAAACTACAGTGCCCCTTTGTATGCCGTCACTTCATCTAAAACGGTATGGTATTTGATTTGGTGGGGTGTTATTAACCATTTGGATGTAAGGTAAATTGCAATGGTATCCAGTCATATTGTTGTGGGCAGTACATTCCACTCCAATAGGCATTAATTACAGCATTTTCTATATATTTAAATAAAGGTTATATATTTTAGATTCATCAATTGGCCAGATGGTACGTAGGGAAACGCACCCTCGTCCAGTATAGATTTGTTTTTACCGGCCGATTTCCAATGATGAGCGGTGATCACTGACACAGAGCAGGGCTGCATTGTTTACACAGAGCCCTGCTCTGTGACAGTTCGCTGACAAGCTGCAGAGGGAGAGAAGAGTTTCCCTCCCTCCCCCCTCCAGTACACACCCCTGCCCCCTAGTAAAACACTCCCCTTACACAGCAAATTCTAAAAATGTTAACCCCTTCCTCCCCAGTGACAGTACAGTTTCAGTGTTTTTTTTTTCACTGATCACTGTATTGGTGCCAGTGACCCCAAGTCAGTCCCCCCCGTGTCAAAATGTCCGCCGCAGTCCCGCCATAAGTTGTTGGTCGCCGTCATATGTCGCTCATTGCGGCCATATGTCGCTGATCGGCGCCATTATTAGTATAAATAAAAATCCCAGTATCTTTCCTGCCAATTGTAAACGCTATAACTTTCACGTAAACCAATTAATTTACACATATTGGGTTTTTTTTTTTGCAAAGACATGTCGCAGAATGCATTTTGGCAGAAATTTATGACTAAATTTGATTTTTTTGCATTTTTTTTACTGGACATGTTTTATAGCAAAAAGTCCAAAATATTGGTTTTTTTTCCTCAAAATTGTCAGCCTTTTTTTTTTATAGCGCAAAAAATAAAAAAACGCACAGGCGATCAAACACCACCGAAAGAAAGCTCAATTTGTACCGTATTGCATGGCCGCGCAATTGTCCGTTAAACTAGCGCAGCGCTGTATAGCAGAAAAATGGCGTAAATTGCAGTATTTATACCATAGTTTGTAGACGCTATAACTTCCACACAAAGCAATCAATATACACTTATTGGGATTTTTTTTACCAAAAACATGTAGCAGAATACATTTTGGCCTAAATTTATAACCAACTTTGAGTTTACTATATATTTTTTATAGCTGAAAGTAAAAAATATTGTTTTTCTTCAAAATTTTTGGCCTTTTTTTGTTTATAGCGTGAAAAATAAAAAGCGCACATGTGATCAAATACCACAGAAAGAAAGCTCTATTTGTGTGCAAAAAAGGACGTAAATGTCGTTTGGGTGCAGCATTGCATGACCGCGTAATTATCAGTTGAATTAGTGCAGCGCCGAGTAGCAAAAAGAGGCCTGGTCATTAAGGGGGGTAAATCCTCAGGAGCTCAAGTGGTTAACCTCTCAAACATTTCTGTGGCTGAATGCGAGGAGAAACGAGAAAGTGGTCTGTGCCTTTATCAGGTTCTTTCCCGGCTTATGGCGGAGCTGGTTATTAACACTTAAGATGCCCACCAAACTGTGATGGCACTGCCAGAAAAGAAATGGGCCACCCTGAGACAGAATGTAGCATACGTTGAGGGTCTGTTTGGAAAGAATGTGAGGGGCCCAGAGCTGAGGCAGTGATTCTTTGTCCAAAGTCAGCAGGAAGATGAAAGCCTCACTCACTTTGCAATAGCGCTCCAGAATCTCTGGAAACGCTTGAAAAAGAGGGATGTATACAACTTTGCCAATATTACCACGTTAGATCATCTACTGTGGAACCAGTTCATAGTGTGAATGAATGCTGGCTCAGGCAGGAGGGCCCTACAAGAGCAAATTAGAATGCAACCCACTATCTCTTTCCATGAAATTTTGATGGACGTGGTTGCGCAGGAACAAGCTGTCAAAGCAACCATGGCAGTGACAAAGAAGTATGATCCAATGCACTTGATAAAGGAGACCCTAGCTTCATCGCCCCTGTGAGCTCTATAGGGGGCGAAGTTGCACAAGAGGAAACTTGCACAAGATGTGGCCTTCTTGACACAGGAAATGTTCTCCTTTAAACAGGACTTGGCCCATCCCTCTAAGGGCAAGAATCCGTTGAGGAGGTACCCAGAGTTGGACTGGAAGTGCTGCTGGTGTGGCCGCTATGGACATGTATCTAAGTACTGTGGCGGCCTGAGTTCAAAAGCTCATGTAGGCCGCCCTTAAACTAGTGGCTGAGAGATGACCCTCAGGACAGGCTACACAAAGTCCCATCAAACCAGAGTCCATGGTCACACCAAGCCTAGTAGTGACTGCCATTGTCCATGACCTGGAAGTCCCATGCTTCATCAACACTGCCTCTGAGCTCACTGTCATGGAGTATAACTTCTACACCCAGCTGTTCAGAACACAAGAACAACTGGACCCCTTATGGCTGCTACTCAATGCAGCCAATAACTAACATGTCCTGGTAGACGGTATCACCTGGGTAAGGATCCAAAATGGAGACCAGCTACTGGAACAAGTGGGGGTAGTGGTGACCCGTGGCACAGTAAGCTCTATTGTTCTAGGCATGAATGTACTGAAAGAATTGGACTTACCCCGCTTGCTAGCCAAGTTCAAACAGTGCAGCTGACGTGAACGCAGCTGTAGCCTGCGGGTGGTATAGCTCAACATGATTAGGACTTAGGCTCAACAGAGGGCAGCTAGGAAACAGCTTGAACAGGTGAGGGTTGTCCACACTCCTAAACAAAAGTTACTCCTGGCACCTGATCAAGAAATAGTTTAGTCACTACCCATTGGGGCCCATAGGAAGCTCTAAGGGGCCACGGTCATGGTTGAACACACTAAGGACTCAATGGCGCCAGTGGAGTGGCTAGTTACTCACACGTTATCCAAGATCCACAAGGGAAAAGTTCTGGTGCAGCTCATCAACCTTACAACAACCCCGATCTCCCTCCTCAGCCATGCCACCATAGCAGACCTCTAAATGGTACCTCGTCACTGTATCTGAGAGGCCCAACCACCATTGGAAGTAGTATGTGCCCCTCTACAGGCAGCCATGGCTTTATTAGATGAAACGCAATAAAAACATTTGCTGAGGCAGCTGGACACACTCTTCCAAGACTTACCTCTTTCACAACAGAGGTTACTTTATCAATTACTAGAAAAACATCTAGTGTTTGCCACTGGCCTGAATGACGATGGGATCATCGAAGTCATTGACCACCCAATCCACACAGGCAGTGCTCCAACCATTCAGGAGCGGTACCCCCACATTCCTCCAGTCCTGTGTCAGCAGGTCAAGGATCTACTCCACACTATGCTTCAAAGTGGGGTGATGCAGGAGAATCATAGCCCTCTGGGCTCCCCCCGTAGTCCTGTTGCAAAAAAAAAAGATGGAAGCGTGCAA